TGGGCCTCGCGTGAATATTAAAATCACTAAATGTGGTCCTCACCTTCTATTGTGAGTAGTCATGTAAAAAAAATCATTTACATGTAGCATTGTCCAATTAATTAGCCTACGAACATGATGAAGTATTATGAACAAGAATATATAATCACTACTTTAATTTATGTGAGCTGCCAATGTACACAACGTACCGAGGTATTTGATTGTCCATGTGGGCCTCGCGTGAATATTAAAATCACTAAATGTGGTCCTCACCTTCTATTGTGAGTAGTCATGTAAAAAAAATCATTTACATGTAGCATTGTCCAATTAATTAGCCTACGAACATGATGAAGTATTATGAACAAGAATATATAATCACTACTTTAATTTATGTGAGCTGCCAATGTACACAACGTACCGAGGTATTTGATTGTCCAATCTAATCTCATTCATTGACATGTCAAAGAGCGTCAAGTTAACGAATAGCAATAACTACTCCGGGAGATTTAGGTAATCCATGAGAAAGTAAGCGTATATTAATTTTTGCTCTAGATCATGCTATGGAAATCAATCTACACATATGATCTAGTCAAATACACTCCAATTTATACTCAGTATACTAGTGTCAATACTCCCGATAGAATTTTCTCCACGATTAAAACAAGTTGCTTACCTCAATTGGTAAAGTATTTGACCATACGAACTTGTTAGAATGAAGTGTCAACCTTTTATTCACCGACCTATGACAAACTAGTTCTTGATTGATTATGAGCATGTTTGGGAGTGATTTTGAGAATTGATTTTTTTATCGTTAAGAGAAAAGTGGGGTCCACCGTGAGAGAAGAAGTCAAATATGACGACTGGAATAGTAAAATAACGGTCAAAAAATTAATTTTTTAGATGAAAAAATCAGGCCCAAACAGGCCCTATATATATTTATTTCTCAATGCAAACTTATAATTCATATTATCAAAAAGTGATCAGATGCACATAATCATACATGCGATAGTTTATTAAAAACAAACATAAATAAATACCAAATACTTATTTAATGAAAAATGTCAAAATAAAAATCATGTCCTAACACTGTCATGCACCAATCCAAACAAAATAAAACTTAATTCGGTACCTTATTTGCCACTAAAGGACTAAAAATGGCATTTGCAACATTGATCTCATAATTCTCTCATTTTTCCCTCTTTCTTGAATCCCTAAAATTAATGTTATCGTTTACAAGAAAGGCAAATGTGTTGAATCCACTATTCTCCAACCAAGAAAAGACACAACGGTAGATGTGGCCTGAACACAATAACTTCAGGCACAACTTGCTTTAAAAACTCGAAGGTGTCACTGAATTCTGTATATAAATTTAATAGATGATCTTAAGCCAAAAGCCAGAATTCTATGATCTTAAGCCAAAAGCCAGAATTCTTTCTGACGTTTAGTTGTAATCAAATATCCACCAACTTTCTTACTGTTCCTCCTTACTGCAATGGCCATGCAACCAGCATTTTGTATACAGTACTCAACCACCCCACCACCTGCAACTGCAATCTTATTTCCTGCCCACACCATCATAAGTCTCCATGTAATGGACCTCTTCTTTTGCCCAAGAACTAGTAATGACACCCTTTGCTTTTTAGCCTCTTCTACAATGGCAGGACCTTTGTCTTTGTCTTTGTCTTCTGCCACTGCAACCTCAATGTGCACCTGTTTTAATTTGCAAAAAATGAAGATATTTTGTTATAAAATGACCCAACACATTAATATATGTTTCAACTCTTATCTATAGACTTGATCCATGAGCTTATCACAGTTTTATTGAACTAAATAGTTCAAGTATTGTGTTCGGTACAAGATGTGATAAAATATCACTTTTTCACTCAAATAAACAAACATTCATCAATCTCACAATATACAACTAGTACAACAGAGCAATTCTCTCCCAAACACTCTCTTATACAAGCATAGAAATTTCTCTTCTACCAGATAATTCAAAATACATCTATTTATAGAAAAACTAAAAGGAGTTCAAGATGATCAAGTAACTTTCTTCAACCTCCTTTATTAGAAGAAGAGTTTAAAATGAATAAGTAACTTCCACCTCCTTTAATAGAAGAAGAGTTCAAAATGATTAAGTAACTATTTAATAGCTCTCAACCAATGAGGAGCTTTTCCTTAACCATATAAACTTCTTCTATACAATAAGAAACTTTTGCTTAACCAAGTTGAATTTTGACTAAGTCATATATTCATCATCTTTATACTTCTAATGCTTCTTGATGATTTTGGAACTTATTTCTAGAATTTCTTTAGTCAAGTTTAGACTACTTTCAACTTATTGAACCTATTCATGTAAAAGGTTTAGCTTTCAGATAAGGTGGAAATTTATTATTAAAATTTTATTTTTAACATGCCAATCTTGTGCTTGACACATGTTCATTTTTTCATAAAAGGTTTTTCACGTGCAATTATAATAAATGATTGATGGCGAGCCTTTATTCCAGATACATCGAGTGTGGTACTAAATTTGTTAAATTATATTGTCCAAAAGTTTAAGTCGTTAGATGAACCAGAGAAAGGTGTCAAGCAGAAGTGTACAATTGGTCAATATATGCTGAGTCTCTCTGTTATCACCAAGATGAATTTATTTATTTATTTATATATATTCATTTTTAACATGCCCTTATGTGAGTATGAATTGATATTTTCATTAAAGGTTAAATTTTTATATGAAGTTGATTAACATAGTATCAAAGCTGACAAATGTTTTGGTTCCGGCATTGTCGTAATCTAATTGTGAAATAGCATGTTGAAAAAATATATAAATAAAAATAACTAAATTCGTCCCAAGAGAATAACATATAATTATATCCATCAAGAGATAAAAATTATCAACACACCTCTGGTCTCTTCAGTTGGCACAAATTTTTCATAGATGAAAGAAACTCAGAAACTCTTGAATTTGTTCCTTTTCCACCTGCCAAAATAATCATCATTTTACACGATGCATTCCAGTACTAATCCAAGTAAAGATCATAAAACCAGGAATCCAAACCTCGTTTTGAAGGTTTTGTTACATGGAGAAGAATCACCATATCTTGACTCTGAACTGTATGAGTAAGTGCCCACTGCAGGGCATTCTTGGATTCATTGCTTGAATCCACCACGATCATGATTTTGCGGCCAATCATTACACCAGCCTTCATACCATCACCTGAATTTTCTTTCTTTTTTTCATGATCAGTATTGGCACTGGTAAAATCTGCATGGCTTTTGGAGTGTATAGGAGGTGTCAGTGAGCGAACCCGAGCAAGTGACCTTATTCTGTTTAAGCAGAAACTCGGCATTTTAGTTCCCTTCCTGCCCATCTGTCTTGTAACGGGACCTCCTAAGTTCGGCAGCTTGAGAAGACTAGTACTTATAAGAAGGTCAATGTCCAACCACCTTGTCAAAAAGAGTTCAGAGTGATTCAAAAAATATTTTAAGTTCAAGTCTCGTCATCACCTACTTATAAAAATGGATGAAAAATGAATTCTATCTAACGAAGAAACACGTGTTAAAATGGTCCAACTGTGGGCATATCTTCTTGTTGGGTTTTGATAATGTTAAACCGATGCTGGATAAAAATAAATATCGACACTCAAGAATGATGACCCGACCCTAAGACTATTTGGGCCATTGAAAGCAACCTAGTTAATTAATGTTGCTCATGGCCCAGTTTCACACTTATTGGATGGCTTATATATGTTGGCCCACGTACCCTTTTTGTATTGGGTTTGGCCCCATCACTTAACCTAACCTAATCTCTATATGCTAGCCTTCTTGGTCTTCTATGATTAACGTGTGTTTTTGAGAGAAAAGTCCCTGCCTCTTGCTTTGTGCTCTTGCTTGGCCGATTTCTTCTTGTTCTTCTCTAGTCTTTGTAGTACTGGCTTTGTGCTGAGGACACCGTCCCTTTGCATGGAAGAAGTTTAAGGTTTTGGGTCGTGATTGCTTGGGTGTATTGATAAGGTTGAGATTGGTATCCTGAACCTAAAATTCCACCAACTAGAGGTCGATTATTCAACACTTTTGAAATTAAACAACCAAACTTGTAACAAAATGATGATCAAATGGGCCATAGGCTCTCCCTCTTTTCATCTTTTGGAAGTCATAAGTTTTGCTTTGACTCCTTTTGTTTCTTTTTGTTTGTGGGGTTTGCAAGTGAACGTGCCTGTCATGAAACTGTAGGGCCATCTATCCTTCTCAACATTACCCTTTAATTATGATCTGGAAAGAATCTTAGGCGTTCTTTGAAGTTGGTGGGATGCAATTATCTACAAACCCCATTAACGTGCTGGTTATATTCAAGTAATTTCGATGTGGTTGTTAAACCAACTTATTTAAAAGTTGAAATACAGGATCAAAGCAAGTAAAATTCAAGTTGAATTCTACCTTGTTGTTCCCCATTTACCAAAATTGTGCGGAGTGTGAGAGTTTTAATGAAAAAAAACTATGAAGTGAACATGCAAGTGAAGGAGCATAACGAAGACTCCAGGATGCTTAAACGTATCCCACATTTAACATTTTCACGTTTTAAGCATCAATTTGGTTGGGATTAAAATCGAATTTTTATTAAATTTTGATAATAGTAGGTGAAAAGTGTGGTTGAAAAACAGTGAATCCTATAAATATATATGGTTGAAATTAATTGTCGACTTTCACAATTTGACTTAAATTAAAATTTACATTCTAATCTCTATCAAGCATGAGCTAAACTGTTTATTGGGACGTTTAATCTCTAGTTGAGAAAGAACTTCCATATCTTTAACAAATAGTGGGATATAATTATAAATGGATGGTCAATTTCCAGAACATATTTCTTCTATCTGTATATTTTTCTTGAGATGGAAATCCCTGTTGCAAAAAAAGGGAATGAGAGAAGAAACGTGATTCCCAATTTTTTTTATTATTACTTTTTCTTTTTTGGAAAAAAAGGGCTCATTATATTGTAATTGGTGATTTTAACAGGTAATTAGGATATTTTCAAATGTGAGGATATACATTTTTAAGGGTTTAAATATAATCGATAAACAGGGGCGGACCCACATGGGGTCATGTGGGGTCAAATGACCCCACAAAATTTTGCGCCTTTTTTTCTTTTTTATATATATACTTTGATGCACTCGTCGGGATGCCAAATAAAGTTAAAATATTACATTTTTAATACCATTTCGAAATGTTCATGACCTAGTTTTTCACTCATTAATGGCATGCGAAGTAATCAATTATAGGAAAAGTTATGACATATTAAAGTAGGGCGTTTGAAACTAGTATTTTGAAAATTTCAATAAAATCCTAACTTTAAAAATTTGTTTGCGATCATGTGTAATATGAATCCACAAATCATCTATACCATGTAAGAGTTCGTTTCGAAAACTACATCGTTTTCATATCGAATGGTTCAAACGAATATCGAAAATAGTTAAATATATATCAAACGTACGCCTCAAAAAAAACGTCTAAGTCATTTTTTCTTTTAAAAAATTCAATTAATTATTATTTTTGCACGTAAATTTTTCAATATAATTTATATCATTTCATTTGGAAGTCTTCCATGAAATATGATGTAAATTTTTTAGGATTGTTACGGATTAAATGCAATTTGAATTACTTTCGAATTATATTTGCTTTAAATTTGAATTTCATTTATTTCTTGAACTAAACTTGAATTTTATTTCAATTCATTTAATTTCTATATTCAATTTAATTTACTCAATGCTAACTCAATATTTGTCAATGAAATAATAAACAAAATTATACAAGTAGCAAAATTTATTTAATAATATTAATAATGATGTAATTATACGACGTTTTCAAAGTGTCAAAATACATATAAACTTATTTTCATTGATATTATGTTGTTTATCAAAAAAATTATTTTGAAAATTTTGACTCCACAATACTAAAGATCTGGGTCCACCCCTGTCGATAAAGACCGTTAGATTAATTTAAATTTAAGGGTTCATATTATTTGTCAAAAATATTGGTAGGAGGAATGCTCCACAAAACACACACGTGTGTGTACTGGACTGGTTACATATAACCTTATAAACTAGAGTTGGATATTATTAGAATAAAACACTTGAAACGGAAGACAATTATATTTGAATTTCCATATTCCCACAGGATTATAGTTGATTCTCATGCAGGAAAACATCCAAGATGGAATGAATACAGTTAATCAGGATTGAGATTAAGTTCCTTCCTTCTGGCTTCTGTTGCTTCCCCTTCATAGACACGACTGCATTAAACAACAGTGAAATATAATTCACGAAGAAACTTCACTTGCGCTGAGCATAAGAACATGAAAAATTAGTTCAAGCTTGTCATAAAATAATGCTATGTTGCACAGCGGCTATTAAAATATAGTGTATGTGGCATTATGTGACATTAAATAATAAGTTCAAATGGTGCTGTTAGTTATCCTTATCTTAGAGAGTCATATAGACGTGTGACCACTAGGGCTAAACAGCATTACTCTTGTTTGTTTGTTCAACCCTTTCATCTAAAAGCAAAATTTATGTGGACAAGTATTTATTTTAAAGAGCAAACATATTTACTTTTCCATCAAAACCCGGAACTTTGCAACCCCTCTTATGAACACAAATATTTGCTAAATTCAGATATTATCTTTGAATTTTGCTGTGCATGTGTTAATGTCATGCTCCATGAGAAAGATAAATATCCCATGTTTAGGCATGGAACTTGAGGTGTCACCAAATAAGATGATCCGTCAGTGTCTTGATTTCACTGCTTCCAGTTTGGGTATTGCGGAATAGTGTTCTCCTTCTTCTGCTCTATATGAAAATCGAAGTAAAATCACTTGACAGTTAGGATTGCATCTCAAAAGTATTAGGGTAATAAAATAAATATTTCGAATTTTATTATATAAATAATAAGATTTTATTTATTAGTATAAAAGGGTGTTCAATTATATTTTGAGCATCGTATCAAGTGCCTTCAATTGATGACTAAGTACAAAATATGATGGTTAGTGTAGAAGATATTATTTCTATATTGATCGACAATTTATTTTCCACGATCGTAGAATATGAGGTTTATACTGTGATTGTTAAAGGAATAATAGTTAATATTCTATCAATTGGTGTATACAATTTGTCGTGATCGTGATCTTAATTCGAAGATCTCAAGAATAGCAACACTAGTATGCTTGTATATTTAGAAGTGTGTTGGATAAGACTAGTTTGTGTAAGAATATCTTTAAGAAATTCTTTAAACATAATATGCTCTTTATTTTAAAGAGTCAACCTTTAAAATTATCCTCCAAGCGACTTTTTAAATTCATATTTTAATTTAGAGGAGAGCCAAGCCCACACTCTATAATTAAATGTATTCAAAATATTTCAATTTTCAATATAGGAAAATAATAAAATAATATAAAAAAAGTTAGTTAAAATAAAAAATAAAGAAAAATAATAAATATTTTTTTGTGAGTAGTAATACTATGTGTTAAATATAAGAGTTTGTTGGGATATTTCAAAATTTTAACTCTCGAAATTTATAAATCCTCTCCAAATAATATAATATGCTCTTTAGACATAAAAAGTTTCTTGAATTTGCTCTAAGAGTTTAATTCTAATACTTGACTGAGATAATTAAACTCAATATTGACTGTTTTCTAATTTACCTTAATCCATTATAAAATTATACTTGCTATTCATGAATTCTAGGGTCACTACGAAAAAATGCAGCTACAAAGACGAAAATTTCCATTATCGATGCCTTAAATTCCATCGCTAATGACTTTCACAAACGGAACTCTGTCGGTGATTCCCCCGCCGCTAATTTAGCGACGAATTACTTAGGTCGTCGGTAATTTAGTGACAGAATAAGCCGTCGGTGATTACCAAGGGCTATTTCCGTCGCTAATTAGCGACACATTTTTTCATCGCAAATTTGCTACAGATTGTGTCCATTTGATGATTACCAATGGATTTCCGTCGCTTTTTCTGTCGCTAATTTACATAAAAAAAAAATTAAAAAAATATACGATTTTATTTTAATAATTATTTTCTTTAAAACTTCATACATTAAAGTTTAAACTTAAAAAAAAAAAAAAAGGTTGAAATCCAATAAAATGTAAACTTTCCTTAATTTTTTAGTTCCATTTTCGAGTGGCAAATTCAAAGGCCAGCTCCATTGTCTTGGTGCCACCTATACCTAAGCCTTAGGGAACTTCCTTGAAAATGGACCAACAAATATTTTATGCTCATAAGCAAATGTAGGCAGGATAATATATTCCACAGGAGCTCCTAACTCTTTAACAAGCTGCAAATCACGAAGAGGCATATGCTAGTAAGTACTAGGTTTCAGAATGTCATCTAACATTCATAACATATGGACAGAAATGCTGCTGCATATGCATGCCCCATAATTTATGGCATGATTAGCTTATAAGTAAGGTCGAATCTTGCATTCTCGTAGTAGATGCATCTAATATACTTAATTGTTATTTTTACTCTCTAAGATATAACGACTGTGCATAGAGGCCCAGGGTGAAGTATGTAATATATCTGTAAGTGTTATGCCCTAAATCCAATCAACA